AAAAGAATCTAGGAAATTTATTTGTAAATTATGGTGGAAAATAAGTATTTGTTGACCCACAAACCCGCAAGATTTCTGGCTCTAACAGACCTGTAACTTCTTCCTTAAGGAACTCCTCTGTCATCCACTTGTTACCTGTATTATTGGCACCTGTTTAAACCTTGCCCACAGCCACAAACAGTCACACTCCAAACTCAACCATGGCCAAGACCAAAGAGCTGTCGAAGGACACCAGGAAGAAAATTGTAGACATGCATCAGGCTGGGACAAGTAGATCTACAATAGGCATGCAGCTTGTTGTGAAAAAAATAACTGTGGGAGAAAATTTAAGAAAATGGAACACATACAAGACCACTGATAATCTACCTCGATCTGGGGCTCCACGTAAGGTCTCACCCTGTTGGGTCAAAATTATCATGAGAACGGTGAGCAAAATTCCCAGAACTACACGGAGGGACCTGATGAATGATCTGCAGAGAGTTTGGAACAAAGTCACAAAGGCTACCATAAGTAACACACTACACCAAGAGGGACTCAAATCCTGCAGTGCCAGACATGTCTCCCTGTTCAAGCCAGTACATGTCCAGGCCCACCTGAAGTTTGCCAGAGAGCATATAGATAATCCAGAAGAGGATTGGGAGAATATCATGTGGTCAGATGAAACCAAAATAGAACTTTTTGGTAAAAACCCCCCCAAAAATGTGGGACAATTCCAACACTTTGTAATCCATCTTTTTAAAGATCTTATTAAATATCCATCTTCCTTTGTAGCAAGAAGAATGCAGAGTTGCATCCCAAGAACACCATACCTACTGTGAAGCATGGGGGAGGAAACATCATGCTTTGGGGCTGTTTTTCTGCAAAGGGGAAAGGAAAATTGATCTGTGCTGATGGAAGAATGAACAGGACCATGTATCGTGAGATTTTAAGCTAAAACCTCCTTTCATCAGTGAGAGCTTTGAAGATGAAACTTGGCTAGATCTTCCAGCATGACAGTGATCTCAAACACACACCCCGGGCAACGAAGGAGTGGCTCCATAAAAAGCATTTCGAGATCCTGGAGTGACCTAGCCAGTCTCCAGACCTCAACTCGATAGAAAATGTGTGGAAGGAGTTAAAATCTGTGCTGCTCTGTGACAGCCTCGAAACATCACTGCTCTAAAGGAGATCTGCATGGAGGAATGGGCCAAAATAACAGCTACAGTGTGTGTAAATCTCTTGGTGACCAGGTTATGTTACAAAGTATTGAGCTAAACTTTAGTGACTGACCATATACTTATTTTCCACCATAATTTACAAATATATTATTTAAAAATCCTACAATGTGATTTCCTGGATTCTTTTTTTCTCATTTTGTCAGACCTCTCTCATTATTCTAAGTAGGAGAACTTTAGTGGCTGACTAAATACTTTTTGGTCCCACTGTTTGTATATATGAATATATCTATAATTATATATGTATCCACACACACACACACACATATATATATATATATATATATATATATATATATATATATATATATATATATATCGATTGATAGTCTGCAACATGGCACTTCTTACAGTACATCTCAAACTGTTGGTTTTAAGAAGATCTAATTGTGAAAAAGAAAACATCTTCAGTCTATTATGATGTAAGTCAAATTGTATTTTGAATAAATGCTAAATTCGTTCCCTTTTAAATGTATCTATGAAAGTTAATGCTTGCCTCAAATACTTTAAAATGTCAGTGTAAAGGCATTCCTAAAACATTTCAAAGTCACTTTTCCTCTGGCCAAAGTTGGAGGGAAACAGCTTGTGCTTTAATCTTGAATGCATAATGCTGTTTTCCTTCACAACTAGAGAGAGGCCAGATGTTCAGATGGTTGCTAAAGTCACAGCCCCGATTTCATGAATTTATGTATCAAACTCCTTACCAAGGACTTGTTACGTGTCCTGAAGAGTTGGAAACTCAGTTTACCTAACACATTTTATAGCAATACACAATTAGCTGTTTTGAGGTCATTAACATGACTTATTAAATCAAAAGTACAGCACTTTATTTAATTAGCAATATCCCATGCATGATGATTTTATGAGAATAAGTGTTTTGAATACTCCTGTTAATTCAGAGCATTTTACAGCTTAGATTATACTCCAATCCCCATACAAGTGACCTTGTTAAATTCCTGTTCTTGCTTTTGATTGGAGCTTTGATTGATGGACTATGTTTTTTAATAAAACGTTAAAATTATGACTTACAACTTGTGTGGAACAGCCGCCTCTCTGCTAATAAATTTATCTAAAGCATCGAGTGATCTCAATGTAAAAGCAGAATCATTGGGGACTTCCTAAATTAGACAACAAATAAGCATAATGAAATGCATTTTAACAATATGCACAATAATTATATATATATATACAGTGCTGCTTGAAAGTTTGTGAACTATCCAAACATGGCCATTGTTTTCTAAAGAAAAATTATAATAATCATGTAAAATGAACATCCAAAGCTCAAATTGTAATGCGGACCTTCCAGATAAGGAACACAAAGACAAAAAAGATGCATCTTTTTATTATTTATTCAACAAAAGTATTTTATCTGTCAAAGACAGAAAATATGCCAAGTGCAAAAGTATGTGAACTCTTTCAGTTAGTACCTTGTGGCACCGCCTTTTGCAGCCATTACTTCAACTAAACGTCTTCTGTAACCACAAACAAGTGTCTCACATCTGCTTTTTGGGATTTTTGTCCACTCCTCCTTGCAGAACTCTGCCAGTTGAGAGATGTTGGAGGGACATCTGGCATGTACTGCCCGTTTCAGATCTTGCCACAGCATTTCTATGGGATTGAGGTCTGGACTTTGACTGGGCCAATCCAGAGTGCAAATCTTCTTTCTCTTAAGCCATTCTTTGGTACTTTTGCTGGAATGCTTTGGGTCATTGTCTTGTTGCATAATCCATTTCCGTCCCAGCTTCAACTCCCTGACTGATGGCAAGAGATTCTGATCAAGAATTTGTTGATAGCCCTGGGAATTGACGGTTCCCTGGATAATATGGAGTCGTCCAGGTCCAGAGGCAGAAAAGCAGGCCCAGACTTTCACATTTCCACCACCGTGCTTCACTGTTGGGAGGAGGTTCTTCTCTTTAAATTCAGTGTTTACTTTTCTCCAAACATGGCGCATGTGATTGTGGCCAAATAATTCAATTTTGGACTCATCCGTCCAGAGAATGGACTTCCAGAAAGCCTCTGGTTTGTCCAAGTGTTCTCTGGCAAACTTTAAACGTGCAGCTTTGTTCTTTCTTGAGAGCAGAGGCTTCCTTCTAGCAACTCTCCCATGAATGCCATGTCTATTGATATTTCGCCTGATTGTAGACGCATGTACATTTATCCCAGACGCTGACAGAGAGGTCTGCAATTCTCTGGAGATGATGCGTGGGTTGGCCTTTACCTGCATCATTATTTTTCTGGTGCTTCTTTGTGAAAGTTTTGACGGCCGTCCACATCTGGGCAGAGTTGTAGTGATGCCTGTCTTACAGTGGATGGATGAAGCTGGAATCTTTTGGAGATGGTCTTAAAGCTTTCCCCAGTCTGATGGGCTGTCACCACCTTCTTCCTGACGTCCTCAGATGTCTCCCTTCCTCTCGGCATTGTTGATCTGGTCTTTATGCCTTGACACAACAGTAGTTTGTTTGGTTTCGTCTCCCTTTTAACCAGTGCGCCTCCAAACTTTTCCCAAGGATGTCTCATTTGATTGGTCTGCTTAATTGATTACTCAAGCACTAACATGTGCTTCACCTGAGTCTTTTACCTGATTGTCTTTACCAGTGCAGCTGTGGTTCATTTACTTTTGCAGATGCTCTGATTCCGTTTTTCATTTAGTTTGCTTTCAACTCCCACATTTTCCTCAAAACAAATGAATGGAATTGATGAATATAAACCTGACATTTCATATACAAAAACTGGTGATGAAAAAATAAGAAAATCATGGTAAAAATAAAGAAAAATCTAAACTACTGAACTAGTTCACAAACTTTCAAGCAGCACTATATATATATATATATATATATATATATATATATATATATATATATATATATATATATATATATATATATATATATACATATATATATATATATACATATATATAATTTATTTATTTATTTTTTTAACTTATTTGATTTAAAAAGCTTATTTGATAACGCTGATGCAACAAAAGCTCAACTAACAAATTACATAGTTACCGGTAATAGCTTTTTTTTTGTGTGTGTGTGTAGTTATTTAGGTTGCACACGAGGGGGCGCCCGTATATCAAAGCAAAAACCGTGACATTTTGCCAAAGCTCCATTTTTTTTTTTTTTTACAACTATTCAATCACCAAATATAACAGTGAGTTTTTATTTTAACCGCTGGTACCTATTTTTTTTTTTTTCCTGCTTTTGCCTGTATAGATATTTCCCCCCTGTAAGGAACTGGCTTATTAGGCTATAGTAAATGGTAAAAGTGATTAAACATATTTTTCATATTTATTAGATTTACTTCAAACATATGGAACGATGTAAGAAATAAAATAAAAACTTCCCTCTAGTCCAACAAGTCCTTAATATGTACATTAAATGCTTTGCTCTTTTAATGTAGCCTAAAAAGTATCAGAGAATAATATATATATGATGTTCTATAGCCTGCCGGTTTGTTATTCTTATGATAATTATGATAGACAATTTTTTTTTTTTCAATTTAATTTTTATTTCTATCTGGGTGCAATTTTAACATGATCAAATAAAATTTTCCTTATTTTTTAAGCTAAACATATAGGCTATCTTGCAGTTTCCTTTAAGCATTACTTTCTATTTTTCCATATTGAGCTGAATCAATTACCACTGATCGCACTTGTGATTTACTCTAAGTGTCCTTTTTTCCCCCTCATACCCCCGAAAAACGGCCGATGGTATTTTCTAGCAAAAGTATTTCCCAGAGCACCGTAATAACGGACGTAAACAAGAACGCAGTCTGCGTGCACGCCTTGTCCCGGTATTACGGTAGCTGAGAGTCTGCGGCGCCTCTGCGTCCGAAAGAGCCGGTGTTTTACTGGAAGACGCTGCGCCGAACAGGTAAAAAAATTTGCTCTCCTTTTTTCACATTAACATAAAAACAAAAGCCCGTAAAAAACATAACTCAATATTCGCTTAAAAGTCTGTGAAATTGCAGTCGGTGTAACCTTACCCTCTGGATAATAGAATATTATTCTAAGGAACTGAACCTCATACCTCTATGAGATGGGGGGGGGGGGATCCATTGTTTATATCATTAGAACTGGGTCTAGGTTCTGGTTGTGATAACATCCGAATTTTAAAGGGGCTGTTTTGCGGGTGTGAAATCACAGCTGAGCAACAGATCTAGAAACCTAGATTCTGAGGTGGGAGCGCCTCGCTGATTGACCTAATTGCCCTGCTGTGTCTTACTGCTCCAATTATAAACACTCATTTTGTGTGAGTCTGAAAGGATGGAAAAATATCTGCATTGGGCTTCTGAGAGGATCACAGATCTACTGCGGTGTCTGTAGAAACTTGGCTGGCTGCCTTGGTGCTGAATTACTGTCAGGCTACAGCGATGATATTGCACATTACAGGAAAAATACCCTATAGAGTCTATAAGGTTATTAAAAGCAATTACGGAAAACAGTTGCCTGCTATAATTTATTATTATTATTATTGCATTATTAATAACGGGGAAAGGAGAGATCTGCAAAACACAGGTGCTGAGTCATATCGGCTACCCCACTCTGATTGATCACACATATTAAATCCCCAGAATTAACATAAATGCTTTTGACATATCTTTCAATTCAATTTCAAGTTTAATAACTGTAATACACCCATTGCAAACATATGGCAAAAATGATTTGCATGTTTTTTCTGCTCTAAATGAGGGATTTTAGATTCATTGCTCCAGGGTAAACCTAATGCATCAAAATCAGGTGAGAAAGCCTGCATTGTATCCTCTCTGTGGTAAAATTTCCCCTCTCAATGGATATTTGGTTAGCTCATACAAGATGGATTTCTCACTCAGAGCATGCTGGCCTCAGTCACAGCTCATTTACATATTGGGGGTTGGGGTTAGATATTGATTTCCCTTTGTGGAGTCCACTTGCTCCAGTGTCTGCACATACATTTTGATGCCTCATGCATTCAGGATGAGGGTGGGATTTATGGAGTCCTGCAGGTTGCAGAGAGCTCCATGAAGGAATGTTTCTGGGTACGCTGTTACCCCTGCTTTCTCTTTTCTGCTGACAGCCATTCTTCTATAGGATCCCTTTTTTCTACTTTGCATGTTACATAATTCCTAGAATAACATGAACGATCACAGCAAGTGGGTGTGATCTGCACCATCTGAAGGCATTAATAGTTCCAGTGTTCAGTCTTGCTTGCATTTATGTTTGAAGAATAGTCTTCGGTGATGCTGTTAGACACACACTTGGAGAGTTTTTTTGGTGTTACATGTTAGGCTTTGTGTACTGGTTGTGTTTGCATAAGGTCTTAAGAGAGTAACCAGACCTTTGAAATTTGCATGCTAGCTTTTTAATAAGATAGATTTCAAAGTGTCCCAAATGTTATTTAATGGGCCAACCCAAAATGGCACATAGGTGTTAAATGAAAATGATAAATGATTTTCAGAATGTTTAGCTTTTTTTTTTTTTTTGTAAAATCTAAAAACTGCAATGGTAGCCAACTCATTTTTAATCTCCTACTCTTAAATAAAATCCAGTGCAAACAATTTTCACCTAATTATTAACTAGGTTTATCCAGGAATTAGTGAAGGACTTAAATATGCATACAAAAACAGTGTATCAGCATCTACTAGAGCAGGATTCACCAAAGAGGAAAGGTTATAAAACTGTGGTGAAATTTAAAGCAGAATTTAGTTGTGGAAGCATCAAAAGATAATGTCCTGCAACTTTAAATGTGTGTGTTTTCAACATACCTAAGTTACATTATCAGTGCTCTGAAGGATTGAATGACATTATTGTGGAGAATTCAGCAATGCCATTTTGGTGTTTTGGAGAAGAGGCATCCGTCTTCTCCAAAGGCATCCCTGGTTTTGATCATCTCCCTTCACCTAAAGTATGGATAAAAAATGGAACCAGGACAGCCTTGGTGAGATATGGGAAGGAAACCATTGATCAGGTTCCCAGCTCAGGGAAGAGAACCCTAGAGATTGCCTCCACAAATGTGGTGGCAACATTATGCTGTTGAGAGGCTTTTCTCCGGCATGCAGAGAGATATTTGAGATAAAATGGAGCAATTCTCAAAGACAATCTGTAGAATCTGTCACCAGACCTTAATTTTACAGCAACATTTTGAGATGTGGGGAAATAACATGCATCTCCTGCAAGTGTGTGATGCCATCATGTTGATATGAACATAAATCTCTAGGAAACGTTTCTGACGATTTGTTCAATCAGTTTCCTGAGAAATGATTTCTATTCTGAAGGCAAAAGGAGAATCAAAGGTACTCATCTGGATATGAAAGTAACGTCCCCTTCAGTATTTCTCTTTTGATAAAACAACATTAAAACTCCCTGACAATTTAGGGATTGGCCTAATTTAAATTTTTTTTTTTAATGATTCAGATTCCTCGCCCATAGACAGCTGGAGATAGGCTCCAGCACCCCTCTCTACCCCAACTGGGATTTAGCAGGACAGAAAATGGATGGATGGATGGATGATTCAGATTCATTGTTTGGATTCTTTAAAGAAGAAACCTCATAAAAGTTTGCATGTTTTAAGTAATGCGGCTAACCAGACACCTGTTAGAATCAGAGCTTTGTGTATTTATGTGCACAACACTACTTACTGTACAACCCCTCTCATTTCAAATTTGGATTAAGCAAAAGACGATAACACTATTAGTAGTGAGTGTTCTTGTCTTGACCATATTATGTAAAGTCAATATACCTTTTTTAGCTCTCTAGTAATCTCAGAGCTACGGGGTGACACTGTCTAGGGCCTCAAAACACTGTTGCTGTGCAGCCAGCCTTTAAATTTGTTCTAGTTTAGCTAAGTATAGAGCCTAGAAAATGGCTGTGGCAATCAACACAGTGGCAGGTAACATGTGGGCGTTTATACCATTCTGCTGGAAAAAGATAAAAACAGACAGGAGAATTTTGATTTGAGCCATAAGTTGTTATTATCTCTCCAGCTGGGACAAGGCATGGTAACACTTCAAATCCCGTCAACATTACTTTTTCATCTGGCATTTTATTTCTTAATTAAAATGATTTTTTTTGTTTTGTTTTGTTTTGTTTTTTTACTTAAAAGTTGCCTTAGTCAACAAAATATAAGACCTGCTTGTAACGTTGCTTTTAAACTAGCTGTGATGTGCATCATGAATGTCACCCAAAATTAGTAAATTAACCTAAAATATCTTCATTGGAATGCAATGGAATGGAATAGAATTAATGGAATCACGTTAAAAAAGGGTTTTGGTTTCATACTGACTTTTCACTATTACATGCCAAGCAAATGAAATAGCGACCTGAAGTAGCGACCTGGACATGTTCCTGAAAACAACAAATTGATAACGGAACATAATCAGTTTCGTGACGCATCCTCTTGGATCATTTCAGCTTTGGAAAACAGGATTCCAAAAAGAAGAAAATTTAACGAACATAACAAACCTGTTGATACCTTAAAGTCCTTTCCACAATATTTTGCATAAAATCATCATGAAACGAATAAAAAAAATAAAAAAAAGTACTAACACTAGGTTCAGTTTCACACAATTACAGTAGCTGAGCAGTTTTAAGCCCAACCATATAACCTCAGTATGCTAAGGTTCTCAAACCCAATTTACCTGGAATTTCATACTAATGAGGAGTAGTGTTGCATCCATGCCATTTTTGGCCATGATACCGATACCCGATACCTGGCTGTGCAGTATTGGCCGATACCGATACTATCTGTTTGAAATTGATGTGTGTGTGTGTATATATGAAGAACAGCATTCTACTTGAATGTAAAATAGTCGCTGTCATGGCTTTGTCAAGCTGCTGCCTACCTTTGTGAAGCAGGAGAAAGACTAATACAAAGTTAATCCAGTAGAACTTTTTATTGCCTACCTGGAATGGGTGACAATAGTTGAATAAACTTTTGGCTCTCAAAATAGTATCGGTGCCCTATTTGTTGGTACTCGCACATACCGATACCACCATTTTAGTGCTGGATCGGGGCCCTGTCCGATACTGATATTGGTGCAAAACCAACGAGAAGTTGTTGCTAAAAGATCAAGGATCTTAACTTTCTTTAAATGTTTTGTGGTTTTAAGATTTATTTCAGAATATATGGACATATTAAAATAGTTTCATTGATTATTGTTTAATTTTTCTTAATTTTGTCTAAGAAGTGACTCTTTTTAAAAGTTTGGGAAATCAATAAAAACATATCCGTAGACTATATTCACTGAATTAAAAATCATCTTCATCCTCCAGTGCCTGTTTTACCTCTTTTCTATGCAGTAAGTAAAAACAAATCAGTTGTTGCGTCACTCTGAATCATCATTGTTATGAGCACTGTTGGTTGATGGAGTCAGCAGGCCAGGAAGAGGAGCCAGCTTGGTGTGGCAGCACTGCAGTCTGCCTGTTCACACTCAACTACCACATAGTGATAGGGCTTTACATAAGCTTGATGTGTGAATAAGGTAACTCAAAGAGACATAGGCAGTCACATACACACAAGTCCTGCTTCGTCATATCTGACACAATGCTGCGTGTGCAGTTATCTCTGCGTGTGCAGTTATCTCTGCGTGTGAGACAGAACATCATTGGGAAAAAAATCTCTTTAGATCACAAAGAGAGACTTTCAGTGGTAGTAACACCAACACATTTAGTCACGCAACTAATGTGTGCCACCTACAGGCCTGTTGTTTACTATCTTTGCCTTTCTCACACTGAAAGGATTTTTATGGCGTTTATCACAATGGTCAGTGTGGTAACAGAGTAGTTAGGTGTTATTTGAAGGTAATTCCACTGTAAAGATAAAATTACTTTATAGGTGGATCCATCATCTACCAGTAAAATTTGAATCTTGAAATGTTTAGAGGATATAATATTTTT